ATTGACCCTGGACAAGCAGGCCCTTTTCGCCGTGTCGCTGAAGGGAGTCACCTGCAGGCCGAGCCACGGCCTGCGGCTCGGAGTTCTGTGGGCTGGAGGGGGCTATGAAGCCTAAGGAGCTCTAGCAGGATTCATTTGAATTTCAGGAACAAACACCCACATGGAGTGAAAGTTGAACACCTGCCTTTTGAAAATAAAACAGGTCCAAGGTCGAGCGGACGATGCTGCACCGAGCTGTCATGAAGGAGTTCTGGAAGAGGCAATCAGAACTCAAAACCACTAGGCCGGTCAAGGACACCAGTAGTTGGTGCCAATTTTTGAGTGGATGCCTCCAGTTGTTCTCACTGGTTTGTTCTTAGGTGTGGCATCCAACGAGCTTTCTGGAAAATGGCGAGGTGTCGCACCTTGAAACTTTCTTGACGACTTCCGGACGGACCAAAAGGAAGCGAAACATTTCACGCTTCAAACATCCCGTGGCCCAAACAAAGGGAACCGATGTTCAGAATGGAGGCCATGTCAATCAATTTCAGGCGGACATATCCTTTTGAAAGCCCGAAAATCGAGAAGAGCTTGCGGGAATTTGGAGACACCCAGTCCAGCCCCTTGCCTAACCCTTCTGTTCTAAAGTCACCGTGGGCTAGAGGAATCAACCCCAGACGTTGAACCTCGGAAGTCAGAATACCCACACAGCTTCGATGCCTGTGGTCCCTGTGTTTGTTTACCCCAGAAAAGGCATGAACGAATTGAACGAATGAGGATTCCTGGTGGTTTAAAGAAGCACAGAGAGATTGAAATCTCCCAGTGAGCAATTTCTTGACACAAACCCAGGCTCATGTCTGGTACCCTGGTTCTACAGGGCTTGGCCTCCTTTCCAGACCAAAGCTGCCCGGAGTTGTCGCTTTTTCGGGGAGATTTGCACTTCAGATACCAAACAAACATGTGTTTTGTTCATGGCCATGCCCTTTTCCCAGGAAATCGCGGTTTTCCGGAAACAACGGACTATGCTCAATTTAGGCAAGTTTGGACCCACAACCAGGTGCTTCCAAACATAGGCAACCCTGGATAGCTTCAAACTGGAAACTACACGCAAAAACGAGCCCCCCACCCCCCCCTCCGCCCCCCGGAACCCCCCAACCCCCCCGCCCCCGAACCCCCCCCCCCCCCCCGCCGGTGGTTGCTATAGTCCACGCTCAGCAGCAGCGTGAGCCCGCAGGCGCGGATGGTTTGGTTCTCGCCCGGCATCCGCTGGTCCAGGCTCACGTTGGCGTAGTCCTCCCGCTCGCCGCTCGCAACGGCGCACTTCGGACCCTTCGAGCCCTTCGAGCCGCGCGGAACCCATGGGAAGAAACGGACGAAACACATGGCCATTCGAAGGACGGTTCGTGAAAACTGGTCTGTTTCCAGTCCAAACTCTTTTTGAGGTCTGTTACCAACCCTGACAACCGCAAAAAGAGTTCTTTGCCTTTTGACCATGACACAAATGGTCCAAACCAACACGGACTGTCCTCAGATCCCCTGCTAAAAGTTTAACCAACTTTTAGTGGGGTAAATAGGAAACCCTTACGAAACCTCTCAAAATCTGTGGGGTTGCTGTGAACCACCAAGCAACATGAACACCGGGGGGGGGGGGGGAAACCCCGTGTCCGAAAGCGCCGAGAGCTGCAAACTTTGGAAGGCGAAGCTGAGGTCAGAAAAAGCCAAAACACACGAGACCCCACCCCACCCAAAAAAAAGGAAAAGACAAAAACGAGCATAGCTTGCACCCCCCCCAACCAAAATACGGTGTTTCTTCTTTTTTGGCGAACCTAAGGACAACACCATTGGCTTCTATTTTATTTATTATTTTTTTTAAAAAAAAAGGCTTTCGAGCATCACAAGTTGCAAGCCCGTTTTGAGTCCATCAGCAGCTTCAGGGAGAACAAGTCCCCGGTCTGCGTGGCCAGGGGCATCTTAAAATCCAGCTTCGTGGGCTCCCACCTGAACCCCGAACCGGCCTAGGCCTTAGGATGCCTTAGGCCTTCTACCCGAACCCCGGACCAGGTGACCCTTCCATCTAGCACACCTCAGGGGGTCCCAAGAACATTTTGGTTCAAGCATCTGATGGCTTCCATGTGAGACCGGCTACCCAAAAGCAACGGAAGCAGAGCCTTCACTGTTGACATGGCTTTTCGGTTAGGTTGTACAACATCGCGGGCAGGTTCCCAGCCATCCCGTTCGCTTTTTGGAGCTTTGTAGCGTGTGCTCGGATGTCTTGAATTTCACCTAAAAGTGAGTCACGGGATCAGTCTAGGGCTACCTTCCATTTCCATTCCGAACCCAGGGATCCGAATCTTTTCAGGGAACCATCAAAAACCCAGGGGAAACGGATCCGGTTTTTGAAGAACGATGGTTAACAAGAATGGGGAATCAACTCCTAGAGCTAAGGCCCCACTTGCGCACCCCAAGGGTTGTGAACCTAGAGCCCTGGCAGCCTGGCTGCTTGGTACTTAGGAAACAACACAAAAAACAAAAGCCATTTGCCACGACCCACACCTTGAGACCGAGAGAACTCGAATGGGTATGCGTCAAAATGGGGAGAAGGGGAACGGTGGCTTCCTTTTTGCCGCCCAAATCAAGCTGGAAAGGGTCTTCAAAACACACACAGACACACAGCCACACAGCCACACAGACACGCAAACACAAAGCAGCAACCCAACAACAACAACAAAAAACGTAACACAAAAACATGTGCCCAACAAAGATAGCCGGCCATCCGGGACCAACACAAAATGATGGCCGGTTCAGTTGGTTCGGAGCTGTCTCAGGACTTTGATGTCAACCACTAAAGTCTGGGTGGAGTATAGCGAAGCAATGGCCCACCCAAAAAGGGCAGCCAAAAAGGCGCAAACGCCGGAGAATCCGATTTCACATTGTCCTAAAACATGAAATCTGCGTGAATTATAATATTTCACCAGCCTGAAAAAATGAAGGTGGGGAGATATTCCCCACATAAACCACCATTTGGGGTGAGGTCGTGTGAGGTCCTGATAATTCACCCACTAAAATGATCCAGATCCAAAACGTCTCAAGTGGAACTCTAACGGCGAGACTTTGGAGCAACTCGGAACCTCTCTGGCGCTGAAGTCGAGGTCGCGTCAGCCTCTTTGGGCTCCAGCGACCTTGTCACGCACATCTTCAGGAAAGGGATGAAAACACAATTCATGCATGACCGACTTCGTAGACAAAGAAAGTACTACAATTGTAAGGGACCGTCTACGAATATCTACGAATTGCGGTCTCTTGAGTAAGCAAGGTGCAAAGGGAACCAAATGAAACCCAGGCCCTTTTTCTTGGAGAGAACACACAAATTCATCTCAGAGAAAATGGTGGTTCCTTCCGTCAACAAACTGGGTTCTAAACAGGCGGCCCGGAAAACAGAAAACGATCCCGTGTTTAGTTTCCTCCCGCCTGTCAAATTGATCACTATGTGACATTTGGCTTTGTGGGTATGTATTTTAAAATAGGGGGGACCACCATTTTGGGGTTGTCCTTTTGGCTCTTTTTGAACCAGCCTGAAAAGGGTATCCTCAAAAAGCACATTTAGCGCCCAGTAAATAGCCCTCGGCCAACGGCACATCTAACCCCTAAAGCGATTTTTTGGCCAAGACACAACGCCTGGTGCCTCACCCGGTGTTCTCCCAGATTTGGTTTGAGGAACTACGCTCAGTACACAATTTCACCCTTCCAGACAGTAATTGTCTCAGACCCCTCCCCTTTTGGTTTCCATTTAGGTACGTTTTCACAATTTTGTGGCCACCTTGCCTGGTGCTTCACCTCAAACTTACAGCCTCAAATATAACACTAGCTTATTCAACTGTCCAACCTCCGTGTCTTCACCTAAGGATCGAGTTCCGCCAAGACGCGCAAGCTGGTGCTTCAGCCGGTTGAAACCACGCCTGGGCTTTTGCCGCTGCAGCTCCAACGCCGAGCTCGACGAGGCAGCATGGCCGTCGGGGTCACTGCCCACTGGAGCAGCGCCGAAAGTGTAGATGGGCGCCCCGTCGGGGCAGCGGAACCTCAATCTCCTAGGTCCTCCAGTAGCGAGGTTAGAATATAATAAGGGTGCCCTTTTTTCGGTCTATTTTAATAGGGGAATCCCCCTCAAAAAAAAGGTAAAAGGGCACTACTGGGGGACCTAGTCTCAGCTTCCCTCCTTTGGCTTTCTTTTGCCGAATCGGTTCGGATCAGGAGACGTTTTCCAGTCACCCTCTGCGAGAGCCAAAAAAAAACGCTCAGATCCCCAAACCGCAAACACTTCCGATGAAGAGTTACCTGAAAATCGGCATGTGGTAACATACACCAAGATGTTCAAAGGCTGCGGCAAAAGGGCGCGTCTAGAACAGAGGACCCAATGGTGGCCCCCTCTGATGCTCCTCTCAAATGCACCAAGCAAGGTACCCTCACACAACACGCACGCAAAACCAAACTCAAAAACGTACACGCACACAATTAAAAAAAAAGGATAGAGGCCACAAACCATGAAAGAAGGTCCAAAACACCAAAGGAAGACACAATATGACGCCCCAATTCGTGCAGCGAGGCGTGGAGGTGTTCATGCACTTGATGGGCGCCACGTCAGGTTTTCGATTCAACAAGTCCATGGGGTTCCACGAATCGCTTCTACGCCTGGCAGGGAAGCTAAACCGTTTGGTTGATGAAAAGGTCGCCCAAAGTGGAAACCACAAAAACAAGATCCTACCTTCACCTGGGAAAAGTTACCCACCAACAAAACTGGGGGCCTTTAACGAATATTTCAAACACCCCCTTTTGGTCTGAACCCTGCCTGGGACGTCTCCAGAATCCCAGCATCGCAGAGGAGGCGATATCATCCTTGGCCCAGACCACTCAAACGTGGCCCCGTCTGGCAGTGTGTGTGTGCGTGTCTCACAATAGGGAAACCCTGGTTTACCTTCCAACTAACCCCAAAGATGGTACCCTCAAACAACTAATTCCATATACAACGTCTTTGACCCCCTGCAACAATATGTGGAAACCATGGGTATTTTCCCTGTTATTAGCAAGCCACAGGCCGAGTGGAACATCTGAGTAGTCAGAGGAGAAGACCTCATCCAAAAGATTGAAAGATGAACTCACCTGCCCAAAGGACCGGGACACTATAACACTGAATGTTTGGAACCTTGACTGAATATGGACCAAGTTGGGAAAACCAAAGCTTCGGCTGTGGGCAAGTAAAACCAAAAAGCAGCCAAGCATCGCCGCTGTTCCTGTTGAGAGAGTGGCCCACCTCGGATCGCTCAGCCCTTTTCTCAGCACTGCCAAAGCAAGAGTTGTACTCAAAGATGTTGCCAAAGTTCCCCATAGTTTCCATAACCCATGCTCATGAAGGAGTCATGGAACTGGACACCAGCTACGCAACTTTGCTTGCAAAGGCCCAGAGATAAGGCTTTGCCTGCCAGCAGCACATGCGGTTGGTGTGAAAAAGAACAGTGCCACTGGGTACCAGCGCAACGAAGTGAAATGCCTGGGCTCATACTGACAAAAGCCAAAAAGCCTCGATACTTGCAAATAAATGAAGTCGCCTGGGGCATGTGCGAAAGTAACTACCGAAAGGATTCTGATAATGCAATTCTCTAATGCATATGGAATGCGATACCTGTCGCATATGTCCAGAAGCCGTAAAGCAACTCTCATGAGCGCGTGGCCCTGCTCGACTTTTCAATCATCCTGGATATCAGGTATACCCCGATGTCATAGTCCCGGCTGGCCCAAATCAATCCCATTGTCGCGCTTGCAAAAAGCTTGTGCGCGGCAAGCCGATCCAAAGAAACAAAACTCGCATGCTCCGCAGCCAGTGCGTGATGCGATGCTCGATGTCAACGTCTAACATATTTTCGTCTGGGAACAAGCAAACATCAATCGGAAAATAATGGAAGCCGTTCTCAGCCAACATTTAAACTAACGCTAGCTGTACCGGCTCGCAAGCCTCCAGGCAAAAGTGACAACGGGGCGCTGTGAAACTGAAAAAGCACTTGGCCCATTTGGCCATCCAAGTTCAACTAGAGACGTGAGATCCTGAAAGACCTGAATGGCTGAATCTGCAGTGGCAATTGCACGGCTGAGAAGGGGCTCCCTCCCAAACGTACCAACGACGCCAATCGCAGTTGCCAGTGCTTCCACGGGCGAGTCCTACCTTGATGCTGATGCCTTGACACAAAGACGACGGTATAAGTAAAAAGCACATGAAAGGCCTCGCTGAGCCGTCAAAACTTCTATCATCAAGTATGCATGTCATTCGGTCATTGCATAAACCTCCGCACCAAAATCCCCTTGCAACTCGCCGCCCCGCTTTCAGAAAGGGTGTGGGCTCCTCTACTTAAAGCGGCCGATCTCCTTTCCGCGACCGATCTCTCAACCTCGAAAAATCGAGGTGCCCTCAATTTGTATCTCTCCAAATCTGCCACGAAGAACTTGAAGAGAGGCCTGGCTCTCTGATTCGGAGGCTCTCCCAGTGAGCCTGCGCCACGAAAAAACGATTCGGACCAGCGCCCCAACGACGCAAACGGGGGGCTCTGCACCGAGAGAGAGAGAGACACTCTCCCAGTCATCCCTGAGTTTTTAAGAATCATTTCCGGGGTCCACGCCTCCAGAGGATTTTGTGCAAGGGAAACAAAGGCGAAACCTTGTTGCCGCACTCGACCTGCGGATTGCAATCAAGCCATAAGATGCTCCCGGGTCCAGGGGCCTGGGTACTAATTAGCTTGGCCTACAAGTTCCTTTTGGAAAGCCACGAAGGGACCCCTTTTCGCAACTCAAGGCTTCAGGAGTGCCTCTCTTTGAGCAAGCAAGGTGAATGCTTGGGACGTATATTGAAAGACAACCATAGGGAAACCACTGTCCGTTTTGTGATTGTTGTTTTTTTGGGGGTCGGCTCCCAGATTCCAAGACAGGCCGGTATGTTGCCTTTAAACATCAGCCGGAAAACTGTAAACTGGCCCAAACAAATTTAGGATCCACTTCAACGTTCCACTTCTCCCCCCCAATTTATTAAGTGTAGAGAACACCACCCCTGACTGGCTTCCCATCCTTTGAATGTCGCTTTCACGCCAGTGGCCAGGGCCGCCAAGCAGAAAAGAGTTCAACTGGACTCCCGTATCACGAAAAGGAACCTAACAGAGGAATCGTCAAATTGAATCACCCCATGTCAAGCCAAACTCACGACAAAATTGACTTTGCGTAAGGTCAGAACAGTATTCATTTTGAGGAAATCAGAAGCGTCAAAAGGAATCTCCTCTCCGGAGGGCCCCTTTGTGGCTTCATTCCCCACACACACAGACGCACAGACGCACAGGCACACAGGCACACAGACGCGCAGACATGCAGACACACAAACAAACAATCACCCACCCACACACACACACACACACGTCTCTAGAATCCTGCTTAAAAAGCTTGAGTCGCGCCCAAAACCCATTGTTTTTTGGGTCTACCAACATGGCTAGAACGGCTTGTACATGCCTTCACATACTCCCTACGAAACCAGGCAGTTGCACTGCCCATGGAACTGGCCGACACGGACTTTCCTGTGAGGTTTCTTATGCTTCCTGCTTCAACCTGTTTACCAACATGGTCTTCCCAGAACGTAACTCCAGGAGTAACAACTCCAGCCAAAGAGGAAAACAACTTGGCGTCCCACCAAAATCATCGGCTTGTTTCATGGAAACCAGCTTTTGGCGTCCAGGCAACACATTTTTCGGTCCTTGTCTCGTGCCGTTGCGGTACAAAAAGCTATCCAGGCGCGGGTGCTCCTTGTCAAAGGACTGGTCGGACTCGATGTCCCGGTGTCGCAAAAAGTGCTCCACCTGCTCGAGTCTTCGTTTGGGGCTCCAAGCCGAGGTTTCTGGGCTCGGGGCTGCTAGCTGTCAAAACAAAAATCGGTTTGCCCCCATGTTGTACCATCAACCTAAACAGCGAAAAGCATGCCAACAGGCTCTGTTTCAGTTGCTTCTGTGGGTAGCCGGTCTCACATGGAACTCATCAGCTCCCTGCTAAGCAAAATGTTCTTGGACCCCGTGAGATTTGCTAGATGGGAGGGTAACTTGGTCCGGGGTTGGTAGGGGGCACCCGAGGGAACACCACCATTTGGGGGGTCCCCTTCCCCTTTGCTTTAAAGACACGCCTATTCCTTTTGAAGCCTTTCCTAGGATGTAAGGCTGTCCTATTTTGGGGCAACAGTCCGGGGCTGGAACCCTATGACAATACTATTGGGAACATCCTTCAACAGGTTTCTTTTGGTTGAAGCACCCCTTTTTTCTTGTTTCAAGGGAAAACCACAGAATACCACCATCTTCAGGGTCGGTGGGGTGTCACATGTCCAAACTAGCAGACCACTAAAATTGTCGGTTCCAGATCCCTGCACCCAGCTAAGCTCCTCTGCACAAGAGCTTCCCGCACAAACAAAAAGCGAAACTATATGGAAGGCTTGCTGAGCGGGCCTCCATAGAGTAAGGGCAGGGATTTGAGAACCGAAGAGGGCGCCGAAGGGTTCCGATTTCCCCTCCACCAAAGAAATATTCCCCTCCTTCCCCGAAGCGTACCCTCCCCAACATCCTGTTTTAAGCCCTACCAACAGGGCTCCCTATATTGCTGAACATCACGCCACTCAAAGGATACTCAGCGCCACAATTGGATGTTTAAGTCCACAATGGAAAATCTTGGGAGCCAAAAACAATGAACATCCCCCGATGCCCTGTCAGCCCAACCCAAAGACCTCTCCCTCCCCATCCCCTAGCAAATAAGAATTGGACCCCCAGGAAAGAACGCCAAATCAACCCTAAACAAACCTAAAACCAAGCCGAAACTTATACCCTCCACCCCGAACTTCCCCACTCCCATCCTCCACTTCTCCACCCATTTCTCCCACCCCCCCACCCTTTCTTAGACCCACCTTTGTGGGCAGGAAGATCCCCCTGCCGTGCATGTTTTGCAGGAAGGATGAGGAGCAGTAGCGGCACCGAATCTTCTGGAGCGCCGGAAGCTCGCTCTGCTTGCAGTAGGGCAGATCCTCCAGCCTGGCGTCGCACCCCAAAGTGGGGACAAACACGAGGTAAGAAAGGCTGGGGGAGGGGAAAGGGGGAGGGGTGTGGAGGATAGGAGTGGGGAAGTTCGGGTGGGTTGTATAAGTTTCGGGTTGGTTTTAGGTTGCTTTAGGGTTGATTTGGCGTTCTTTCCTGGGGGTCCAAACCAGGGCTTGACTTCCCAACTTGCAACTGCTTCTTCAATGTCCAAAGTGTCCTTGGTTCAAATACCAAAAAGGAGTAGTTGGGACTCGGGTGCTGGTTGTGGATGGCTGAAATAACCTGAAACATCAGCGACTTGGCAAACCAACTTGACAAAGTGGCGAAAGATGGGACACCGTTGAATGGGCGAAAGAATGGGTGCAGACCTTGAACTTTTGATTGAACAAGTCTAAAGCTCGGATTTGGACAAGCAAGTTGGGATTGTGTGGGGACATCACCAAATGTGGTCAAACGTGTGCCTAGTACTGCACCATCAAAGTTGGAGATGCCAAACGGGCCAAACTGCAACGTTCCAATAAGGAACACATATCAACATGCAGGACTCCTTTTTGGGTGGTGGTTACTACAAGGGGAAACCAAGAAAGCAACAAAATGTTTAAGGGTTCCCATTTTGAGAAACCTTCGTATAAGGTGGCCTGCCTCTGACTACAAGTCAGGGGGACAAAAACCGGCAGCAAAAACCGCGACCGAGACGAGGCGCTCAGATTTAAGGTCTTCCCCTTCCTTTCTGTCCAAACAAGTCGACGAGAGGATGACCCTTCCTCTCACTAACCTTGGTTGCTTTCTGCTCCCCTGCTAAAAGTTTAACTTTCAGTGGCTCAGTGGAAAACCCATTAGTTGGCAAAAAGTTAAAGTCCTAACAGCCAAGCAAAATGCACCAAAGTAACATAGCACCAGTGGGAGGGGCCTGGAACAACTTTTCTCTTTAAGGGGATCCCCTGTCACGTGCTAACTGTTGAGGGAGGGCATGGGGGCTAAATTCTGACCTCGCTACTTCTGACCTCTGGGGGCCAAGGTTTGTCTTAAGGACACAGGCGTGTTTTCTGCATACGTTGCTTTTGCTAGCTGTTGAGACGCGCACCACCAACCCTTCTCGTTGTTTCGCTTGCTCATCTGGTTCTTCATCATGTGCCTTTACTAGGTCCTCCAGATTTGAGAGGTTAGAATAAGGGTACCAACTTTTTGCTGTAGTCTATTTTAGTAGGGGAACCGAATCTCCCAACCAAAAAAGAAACGGTGAGAGGTCGGGAATGACTGGGGGGCCTAGTTTCTCAACCGATTGCCTAGGCTGCGCTTCTTACGAATTGTTCTCCCACCCCGCGCTTTGGATATGCCAGCGCCTGCACCTTAACGGTGTCTGAGGTTGTCAGCTTGTTTCAAGCACGGAATCTATACTTCAGCTTACACACGTAACATGATTCATAGATGACATCAATATGATCTACACAATCTTTCTCACATCCAGTCAACAAACACACGTTATATATTTTATATTCAGGTCCTGTGGGGGGAAAGGCATCATACGCACTCTACGTCATAATTTCATGCGACTGACAACTCTACAAACACACAAAAACCGAGGGCGGCGGCATCACGTTGTTAGATTAGCACTCACTTCCACAATGGAACATTGCAACATGTAGTCTTAACGCATGTGAACACAATGTCTGCAACCCAGTTAACTTTAGAAAGACTCGAAACTTTGGTTTGATCAGTTGACCATGTAATTTTAAGTAGGGGCCCACCAAACAAAGAGGATCTGAAGGGTGTACTCCACCGAACTGGGCTGTCCTTTTTCAGATTCCCCGCTAAAAAGTGACCGAAACCCAACCACTAAACCAACAACAAAACAACTAGAAACCTTTTTGGAGCCAGATGGTCATGGGTCAAATCCCGTACCCTCAGCGAACATCCCAATCGACAAAAAAATAGACTGAAAAGGGTGGTGCAGGGTACCATTGGTTTTGACCCACAGCCAGATGGCTATTTGAACCAGCAAGCCAAGTAACCAAAGGGAACCGAGCCAAATCAAGCGGCGGAAGCCGATGGGATCTTGGACCGGCCTCTGGAGGTTGGGCTCGCAGCCTACAGACCACTCAGAGCAGTCCTGAAACGGGCCCGGGCGTTGACCTAAAACCAAAACCATGGCGACAACTTGTGCCCCACCAAAAGACGTGGTGGTGGACTCTGGTCAATATTTGGTGAACCATCTCTTGTGAACCAATATGAAAGAATTAATCACAAGTACGGGACTTCTTCTACTCTTGCAGAGTACCGCACCAACAAACATGGCTTGAGGCACAAGCCCCGAGTCTGTGCACTTCGACGTTTGTTGCTCCCAGCAAAGCAGAACTTCTCGGATTTCTTAGGGGGTCTTTCCCCCTGAAGTGAAGGATGCCCTCCATTACGTCGAAGCCCAAAACCCATCCTTTGATAAAGCTGTCGGGACCAGGACCAACGATACCCACGCCAGACCAACCTCCGAATCAGAAGATCGACACATAAGCCTGTCTTAGGGCGGTGCCATATGCTCCGAAATAGTTCCCCTGGAAACATCGCCCCACCTCAAGAAACACCGTTTCAACGGGACCACATGTTGTGCCAGTAACCTCCTGATCCTCTTCAATCCCCCGCTATTTCAGAACGTGATTGTGGAACGTCAACCACTCTGTGATGCCAACGTGAGATTCCAACCATGACCGCGTTACTTGCCGAGGGACGTCCTTGTGTCACCTGCCCAAGGACCCCTTTATTTGACCGTTTGGAACATTGACATAAAATAGACCAAAACGAAAACCCTGGTCAACACTGTACTCAAATTTGCATACTTAGTCAATGCGCAACCCTGGTTATCCAGTTGCCATGATTCCAGCCCCAACTATACTGTGTAGCCCGGGCCATCCCCAGCGGGATTTGGTTAGCACGGTGGACATGCTAAAGGGCTTGCTATCGGGTGCTATTAGGCCCCATTGCAGAACAAAGGTATAGGAAGCTGTGGCCTAGTAACCATGCTGTTGGCTGCCCTGAAAAATTGGGCACCAAACGGAAAGGTACAATAAAAGCGTTCACCACTTTGAAGATCTCTTGGCTGAAGGTGTTACCATTCTGAACCCTGGTTTCCCTTGGGGGACGCGAAGCAGTCCCCAAAAAAGCTGCGGCTCCCGGGATGTTGTGGCTACAGTCTAGTTTCCATCCATCACTTCCAAATCGAGCCCAACCTCTCACGTCGTGGGTTGGCCCAAAAAAGCTCCCAAACTTTTTCTTTGCCAAATTGTTTGGTCCAAACCCCAAATCTGTCAAGCCCAACTCAAACAAGAACAACGAAACCAGAAACCAAACAAGAGATGCCATCATCAAATCAAAACCCTTTTTGGTCTTCGACTGGTTTCATCACCATGCCTGGGATCTTTTCGGTCTTGTGGTTCTATCACCATGCGGAGCTTTGGGTCTCTTCCCCCCCAAGTACCCCACGCTTGAAACGAGAAGCTCAAAGAAGAGATGCCATCATCAAATCAAAACTGCTTGGCCCTTTTTTCTGATCCCATCACCATGCCTGGGATTTTGGGCTGTAATTACCCCCACGGATCTCATACCTCCCCACCGCGAGTCCGCCGCTCCGTGGCCGAGTCCGAGTCCTTGGTGGGGGTCACCAGCTCCAGCCGGTAATCGCTGCTGGGCTCCGTGAGCTCTAGGTGGGAGCCCTTGAAGAGCACCAAATATGCGAAGTAGTAGACCTCACCCCCGAAAAAGGGATTCCATATATATATATATATATAAATACATGTATATATGTATGTATGTATGTATATATATATAAATACAACATATGTATACATATTTATGCATATAGCCCTGTGGATCCCAGATATCCTTATAGTAGATAACCAGCAATGTTCCAATCTGTGCTTAAAGGGGGTGGTTCCCTTGGTTACCTATACGGGTCAATTTGCATGCGCTATGTTCATGAAGCCTGTATCTATGTATCTACCGTTGCAAACAGAACCTGAGACCTCCGGAGGTCATTTACATGGGCACCCTTGATTGAGTTAGTACTCACCGAAGCGGAGCAAGGCATATATAATACAAATATAGTGTATATTTATAAATTATATTATGCGCACACATAAGGAATTATAGAATTATATATACATAACATTTGTATCGTTCTATGTAACATGTACATACACAACCGCAGCTAGGAAAGTAGATTGGAACCACATCTTTTGGTTGGCTGAGTTGTAAACCAAGCAAGCAAGCAAACCGTGGATTGTTTCTTTTTTTCGGACGCCACTGAACTGGGTAGATAGAGGCTATGTGCCCCCTAAAGGCTTCGAACGGAGTTGGTAGGAATCAAGAACTGACCAGATTATTGCCCAAAGGAGAATGGTGGGAAGTCAGGGGTCTTTGGATTTCCCCTTATGAATTTACTGGGGTCTCCATTCCAACGATCGCCACTTGTGGAGGTTCCAAAAAGGGAAATGGCTGAGAAACGATACCCAGCAGCCAGCGAAACCGATAGGCGGTAGCCAAAACCATACCCTGGTAGTAGTGTTTGCTACACATATTTATGTGTATATACATAATATATATATATATATTTGGACGTGCCTGCTGCTTGATGATAATTACCCTTCTCGGGGTTGCTTGGTTATAAGAAACAGAAAGGTGCTTGTTATTGTTTTGTGTGTGTGGTTGTATGTGTGTGGGGGAGTGTGGGGTTGTGTGTGTGTACGTGTATGCGTGTGCGTGTGTTGGGGGTGTCTGTGAGTTGGGGGCTGTCTGTGTGTGTGTGTGTCTCTGTGTGCGTCTGTGTGCGGGTGTGGGGTGTCTGTATGTGTGTGTGTGTGTGTTTGTTAGTGTGTGTGTGTGCGATTGTTTGTGTGTAGTGTGTGTGTGTGTGTGGTGTGTGGGTGTGGGGGGGTGTGGGCTTGTGTGTGTGTGTGTGTTTGTGTTTCAAACACCTGCACATTGAGCCTTTTGAGCTTGACCGAACATGGAGCAAAGCGCTCTGAACGATTGAATGACATATCAAAGTTAATGAGTTTGTGCCCAGCAAAGAAAACGGGTTGAAGGGAATCCAACAGGACACCAACCATAGGGGACCGATTGCCGTATTGAAAAGACCCCTGTGAATTTTGAACGTCCGAAGGCGACTATGAGCCACCTGGACTCGCAGCTGTCGTATGGCGGACAAAATCCGGGCACTATCTATAGAGGGTCTTGAAAACAGTACGAGCTCACGTCAACTTTTCTTTTGCTTTGACAACTCAATATTTAGGTCCCAAAAGCGCAGGAACAACCAGCAGGTACTAAATGTGCAAGCACCGCCATCCCGAAGCTGCATCAATATAACGTCCCCGAATCGGCGCTCGGTGGAGACGACAATCAACCGCCCAGGCTGCAGAAACTATGCTTGGGCATCCCCTGGATTTAGCAGCAACTACTCATCTTCCACTTGAATTTGTTGACCACACAATAAACCGATGGTATACTTGCATATTTTTTGCAATCTGGCAACATGTAACATGTTTGTAACGTGGTCATGACCACGTCCCTCAACAATCAGCTGAGGAACAAACAAACTTCCAGCACATGGACATTGCAAAACTGCCAGTAATCATGGTTGTATGTGGGTCAACCGAAAATGGGACTGCACGGCGTTGCAAGAGCACCAAAAGTAACGCACGGTAGCGCTGCAAGCTGATGTTTACGGCTGGGAGAACCGATTGCTCACTCACAGGACAGGGAATTCTTAGAGGGCTTCCTCATCTTTTCGGTTCGCGCGCCCAAATTCCTGCCAAAATGCGAAGATGAGAACGAGAAGGGCATGCTGCGCCACCGAAAATCTGGTCTCGATTTGCACCTGCTTGCTAATCTTGATATGCATGGCAGACTACGTCTGGGCTGTCCTGCTTTGAGCACTACGGCGACGTGAACCCAGACGCATTGGGCGCCAGGTGAGGCGCCATGCCAACCTTGGTCGACTTCCAATCCCTTGCGACAAGCTCACTTGTTCGTTGACAGGCAACATGAAGAAGACCGAAAGGGCTGAAATCGGCAGCCTGGCGGCCGGAAGAAACCACATTTGCGGACTGACCTGGAGCTCCTTTGCCGCCAAACTTGGTCGTTTTTGAGGATAGTTGGCGTCTTCGCTTACCATAGGCCCACCTAGCTTTTCCTCCAGAAAGCAAGCATTGGAGACAAAATTGACCGGCGCCTTTCCACGTAGCCAACACCTTCTGCAGCCCATTGAAACGCATTTCTGGCTGAAAGCGGTCCAATGCCTAAAGTCAATCCACAAACCTAGCGAATGGTGGTGTCACTTTCCAGTATCATCATTGAGTTGGTTTGCTCTGTCTATTGGCCGAGCCTGACACAACAACAAAAGTAATCCCCATTTGAAGCCCCTCGTTGCAACAGCAACACGGTGTCAGGCGAAAGTTCACGCTCGTACCCAGACCCCTTGTGGGAAAGGGCGTTGTTTGCCAACTGAACGGAGATTGTTGCATTCCAAAAACAAGTGATTTACCAACCGGTGTCTAGGTCAAGTCCATTTAATCGAAACAACACACAGGAGCCTGGTCAGGCTGTGAGTTACCTGACAAATCCGTCCTTCTTTAGTTGGGCCTTTAACACCCACATCAAAGGGTGAAAAGGTTGCATGCGAAAGCAAAGAGCAGCCAAGGCAGCTCTGGAGTAAATAGATTGGAAAACCATTGGAGGTTTGCTTTTCGTGGAGCTATTTTCAAAGCGAACCAAAGGGAAACCGCTCATGTTGGGGGTGCCATTTCATTCTGAGACAACAGGCCAAGCTCACGTTCGATCAGCTCAAGCCTCATCCGAGGTGAGGAAGACGGGAATGGGTCATGCCTCAAAAGGACGTCTCCTACGAGCCTCGTGTTCCCGGTCCTCCCAAGGCTCCAAAAGCAACTAAGGGGCTCCCTCGACAGGCATCTGTGACGCCAAGCACCCGCGGTTCTAATGGGGTATGTCTGGGTTTCAGTCTGGCCAGAGAGAGAGAGAGTCCCAGACCTCCAACGCTATGATTCTTGAAGGAACCACGCGTCAAAGCCAACAAATGCACATTGGAAATGAGCACTGGAGGTCAGAAGCGCTGAACTCCATCCGTGCGCCCAGTCATCAGCCCTCTGGTTGCTCAGAAGACACGAACAAATTCAAGTAAGCCAAACCAGTTTTCTGCCGATTGATCATCTTTTCGAAAGGCGGGAAGTTGTGTGGTCTTGATTGCGTTTTGCGTTCATGAGAGAACTTGGGATTGCCCCATCTAACAGGTTGCCGGGTAGTCCCACTTCGGAAGTTGATCCATTGCTAGGTTGTATCATTCGTCGTCCTAGGAGCCAAATGTGAGGTCCAGCAAAGGAACAGCCATTTTCAAGCTACAGGTGAACAGCAAGCAAATCGAATGAGTTTATTTCAAAACTATCGGTCCCCGTAATGATGTCTTCCCTCCTGGCTTCTCTATCTCCAAACCAAATGGGGCTCCTAAAAGAGCACACACACAAATCATATCATGGGGGCTAAATGACTACAACCTTCGTTTACTTAAATCATGCCTTCCCTCACAACTGCGCGAGGCCGTTTTGAACGTGCTTGGTTCGCGCATTCGTGGGCCTGCACTAGCAGCCTACCATTTTGTCAGCAGCTATCAGTTTCAATGCCCAACCAATTACTGGTTGCTGCCCGTTTTCAGAGCCTCCGCAAGTGACTCACTTTCAGTGGGTTAACTTCGGAAACCCAACCACTCAACCACCTAAAACGCTAAACCAGCTAAGGAACCGGATGGCCGGGAGCCAGGGACCAAGATACCTCGACCATACCTAGCATAGGTGTCCTTTTTTCGTAAAGGCTAAGCTCTAAAAAGGCTAAGAACTCACTGGCTGAGTGGATGGCCCAAAAAGAGTCCAAACTTTTTGCTTACCACTAAAATGGTCTTCCCAAAAAGTTTAAAGTTCATGAACTCAGGAAGTGAGAGAAGCTAAATGGCTGGGAGCCACCAAGATTAGAATCCCGCGCAACCGCAAATTTTAGCCATGGCGGCTAAATAATTCCAACAACACTACTTCTTTTAATCTTCCATTTGCCTAAGCCCCCTGGAAAAGATACAAAGAAAAAAAATAGAGAAAACAAACATCTATTTCCAGTAGTGAAATCGATTCCCTTTTTTCACCCAGCAAGGAAGAAAACAAACAAACAAACAACAAGTTCTTAAGCAAATGGACGATTCGCATTTAGGACACGTTGGGACCCAGCAGGGGAAAAAAACAAGTTCTTCAGCAACTGGGGTGTAACTCATGACTTCCCTCGCCATCGAGATTCGAGGCCAGCACCAGGATAGGTCGAAGCCAGTGGCCTGACCGTCCAGCATCACGTCCCGCTGGTACTGGCGGACTCGACACAACCGGCTCTCGGCCGAACACGGGAACCCCTATGGATCTCGGTGGCGAAATCTGCGAAGCCCTGCTAAGTTTTTTTGTTGGATAACTTTTCGTGGTTTACTACGGAAAACCCATTGGTTGGCATCCAAGCAAAATGCACCAAAGGGATGGTGTCCTTGTGGATTCCCCAAAAAACACACACACAACAAACAAGCAAAGGGGGAGTACCCTCAAGAAGAACGCCCTCACATGCACGACCACCCCACTTAGCAACTTGATATCCCGAGTTCAGGCCCCTTTTGGGTGTCCTGGCGTTCAGCAGCCGCGAAGTGGAAATACTAGCGATGGACAAACTCCACGCCGATCGGCACAAGTTGGGATTGGTCGATCCCAGTTTCATAGGGTTTTGCGCATCCCAACTGGTGCAGGATCCACAGTAGGGCCGAATTCGGGCTACACAAAGATCTAGGTCCAAATAAATATGCACGGGGGTCCTTTTTGTTATGTCCTTTTGGAAACAAATGGTAGAAAGTAACCAAACTCAAATATCTATGGCTCCCTGAGGCACGAACAAGCGTGTGAGGAAGACACAAGACCAGGTTTGGAATCAGGGCATCAAAAGGAATCCCGAACCTGGGCAACCATAGTGCAAACCATGTTTGTCTGTTTTTTGGTAGGGGGGTTCCCTGAGAAAAGACACACCCACAGGCTTAAGAGCTGAGCTATTGCCAGCTTGGACCCTCAAACTAGCGGAGGTCATGTCTGACACCTATCGCCTGTTACGTGAGCGCCACAAACTTGCTGACTTTGGGTTTTTCCAACGCAATTGTACAGGCGTACATTGGCTTGTCTACAATCCCAACTCAACCGCAACCGTGTAGTAGAACCACATGACCAAAATGGTTAACATGGCCCTGATCCCTGTTCAGATTCAGATTCGGAGCACCGGATTGCCTAGGTCCTCCAGTAGAGAGGTTAGAATAATTTGGTACCAACTTTTTTTCTGTAGTCCATTTTAGTAGGGGAACCGAATCTCCCAACCAAAAAAGGGGTGAGAGGCCGGGCACCCAATTGCTGGGGGACCTGGTTACATACCTCCACTTTGGGGGACTAGAAGTGAACTCCGCCTGGGTATCAACTTCCCTTGGAACACTCAGATGGCAATGGGTCAAAATGCAAATTTCGTACCAGTGAACATCCGATTCAATCCAACCACTAAAACAGGAAGCCTAAAATGGGTGAATTCACCGAAATGCTTCTAAAATGGGTGGTGCATCAGAATAGGAAGCCTAAAACGGGTGAATTCACCGAAAACCCCAAAATGGGGAATCCCAATCCAACCACTAAAACAGAGTCTGCAATGGGTGGTGAATTCCCAAAATGGGAAATCCCAAAACAGATTTTGTGAGCAACACCCAGCTCACGACAGACTCGCCTGCGGCACCAGCGCCAGGCGTCGCGCCTAGCCATGGCCCAGACTCATCGGATGCTTGCGAGATCCAGTAAAAAAACCACCCGCGAAACGGATGCCATGGGAATGAAACCATTAATTTTGCCGGTATTTACAGGGAAATGGTTCTTTCAGGAATTCTTGGCGCAAGAGTTCGTCCACAGTAGTTCCTTAAAACCATATGCAAGTTGGTAGTTTGATTGCCGAAAAAGTCCAATGAGTGATTGCCATGTTCAAGTTGGTAGTTCGAGTACCTTTTCATCCCCGGGCTTCCTCAACAACTCTAGATCCTCCAGTAGAGAAGTTCGAATAAGGGCACCCTTTTTCTGTAGTCTAATTTAGTAGGGGAACCCTCCCCCAAGAAAGGGTAAAAGGGCACTACTGGGGGACCTAGAACAATTGAAGAATGATTAATGCCCCAACTGATTCGAATGCTTGAACTAACATGGCAGATGATGTCCTCTCAACTAGATTGTCCGTATGCTTGACAACATTTATTAGTTGGTTTCTCCAGAGTAACCATCCAAACATGTTTTGCGTATTCAAAGCGTTTCGAAAGCGCGAGCGCCCGCCTGAGCTGTTGGAGGATTGAAGTCCTGCTATGCAGCCCATCGAGGGACAGTGACCGGACACCTCCATTGTCAGTGTCTTTTACAGGTAGGCGTCTTGTCCTTTCGGGGTTGCTGCAAAGGGAAACCAACCGAAAGCAACCATTCCAAGGCTCAGTACTCTTTACCCTTTTTGGAGTTGGTGTGAAGGCAAACCATCACCTGGAAACCGAGAAAGAGTTCAGCGGTGCCATATCCGAGTTGGACGCTCCGATCGCAAACAGTGGCGCTTCCCAGTGTCTACAGTAGTTGTTTGCACCCATGTGGCAAATGAGCCGGTTCCTTCTATCCTAAAGTGGGTGCCCCGAACGAGGGTCTGGGTCTTTGGCACGCGGAACCAAGTGCTGGAACCTGACCGTGTGACTCGCGTCGCGTGCCTCTCAAACGGTAGCGTCCACTTCAACCTTGCCCTTCCCTTCAGCTGCGGTCAGGGAACGACCAGCTGCCTCCAACTATGTGGCCAAGGACA